GGGGGGCGGCGGCGGCTAGGGTTAGGGTTGGCGGCGGCTAGGCTCTGATACTATGAGGAAAATAGAGGAAAACCCTTATTGTATTATGAAATCTCTTGGGCTTATATAGGCCCCTACAAATACAACTTCCAAATAATCCCCTAACTATTATCAATATGTCAACAATTAGCATTGTCTATGTCAATGTTAGCACCCATATTTTCAGCAGACGTTACTGAAATGAGATAGAAGAAGCTAAATTTTTGTGTAATTCCACATCTGGACACACCTTTAAATTGAATTATCGGTTGAATGTTCATCTAGGACATAATAGTGTTTGAATTTCACCGTAAACTTTGTGGAACCCAATGGCCTATCATGTCTCATGGCTTGGCCAGGCTGGCCTTTTTAACCAGAAGTGATAAGCGGGTAGTGGATATACATTGCCAGATCTAGTTTATCGAAGTCCCTCAAGCTTTGTCTCCATGTGGAAAATTTGAACATATTGATGACTAGCCATGAATCTCTATAAAGTACAAAGTATAAACCACATACTTTCTTTATTCTCGACTTCAACTCAAATTGGACTTTATATTGGCGTCTACATGCTTCCATGATAATCATCTGCAATAGACAATCATTTCTCTTTATCCTGTAGGTTCTTTTACTTATTCAGGATGTAGTATTTCCTGCTTGAAGCAGTCACCTATTTTGAACTATAGACACTGATCGCAAACACATATATGGCAGGATATAGGCATGCTGTTTGAAATAGATAGAAAAGTAAAATAACACCTTGACTATAAGCATCTTTAGGTAAAAATTTTATCCACAACTTCAGGGGATGTCCCTTATGTATTGCTAAAAGATCATCTGGGTCCTCTAGGTTTGGAAGTAATAAGCGGGACTTCCTAACATTACATTCATTACTAGCTTATTTCTTTTTGCAAACTTTGTTATATCTTGCTAACGTGTCAGTGATGTGAAAGGTGCCGAAGCAGCAAATATATAACAAAAGTACAATTTTGTCTTACCATGTCACTGACACATCAGCAAGACTCGGAAGTTTGTAAAAAGGACCTAGGACCTCAATTGATGATTTCTAGGCCTAAAGGACTCAGATAATATTGAGTAATACATGAGGGATTTCCACTAGAGTTTTGCCATGGATTTACACTAATCACATATCTGCTCTGATGCAGCCCATGATACTCATTTTGATTGTTGATGTAGTATTCGTCTTCTATTAAATGTTCATTTTTATGTTTATTAAAGTTAATGGCTCTGGCATACAATTTGTTCATTTCTTTTTAAAAGATGATGTAGCTTTTACTCATGAATTTTTGGTTCTTTAAAAACCAACATGGGCCTGGAGTGTTTCACATTAATTGTGCAAGATTTGGCATTCGACACAATCTCAAACACAGGAATAAAACTCACTTTGTAGATTTGTGTTTCCTAGGTTGTCTTTGATTCCTTGACATGCTTGTTTAATTTTGTGGGCTTGGCTTTTGAAAGTCAGGTTAGCAGTCTTCAACTGTAGCTCTTCCTATAGGCTCGTGACATTATACATTGGCATTACAACTTTTCTGGACAAAACTTTCAGAGAGAAATGATATTGCTACACCGTTAATACTGGTGTATCCATTTGGGGAAGATGATGTATAGCAATGGATTCAAATCCTTTCTAATTAGGTGGTAACTGGAGATTGTTCAATTACCCTAATTCTATTTCTCTATTCCAATTCCAATGATTGAGATGAAGTCACATAGGATTTCCACTGTAATAATATTGGCTTTCACAATAGTGGTTCCGAAAACAATAGCGGTTTTCAAGATAATATTTAGAGTCTATGTGGCTTCGTCTCAAGCCTCATAATTGGAATAAAGAGTAAGGATTGTGGTAAATTGGACACTCAACAATTGCCACCTTGGCAATACCCCTCCCTGCACCCTCCACCCACAAAAAAAAAGGAAAAGAAAAAGAAAAAAATGCTTTCCCCTTCGTGTGCATATTCAACTCTTCTTTTAGCTATATCATTTAGTAATAGGGATGATGGAATTCTTGGCGAAGTGTAAATTATCAAACTAGCCTATGTTAGTTAGCCTACTCAGACATACAACTTTGAACAAAGGTTCCCATTTATTGTGAAATTCACTATCCACAAAAAATGGAGCCAATTTACATGAGATACTCGTCTTCATTATAGGATCACAAATCTACTTCTGTTGATACCACGATATAAAGAAAGATTTTTTTTCCTGTCCTAAGTTCTCCTAATGCTCATCTTGTCTCCTTCATTTATGAATGTTTCATACAACTCGCGCAAAGGGCCCCCGCCCCCCTCAAAAAAAAAAATCAAAACAAAAAAAAGGGATAATGGTTTTGTTGTCAGTGTAGTTAACTCCTAAAAGTTGAGAGTTTGCACCCCATTTATATATATAAATATCAATAAATTCCACGAATTTTAGGTTTTCCACATAAAATCTATCTTGTCCACCTTCCTCTTAGTTTTCTTTTGTACTTGGCCCATGATGCATGTTCTTGCCCTCGCATTAATGAACTTCCATTGGGGATAACCCAACACGATATAAAATGCGAATTGATTTACCATGAAATATACAAGAGAAGATGAGAAAAATTACTTTAAAAGAAGAATAAGGAAAAGAAATAATAAGCTTAAACTCCTTGGTGTACACTTTGGCCTATGTTTATAGGCAAAAGAAGATAATCACTTTAAAAACAGTGTGATTATGGATTTGTGTATCATAATACCACTCAATCCCTAATCCTAAAAGGTCATAATTGCCATCTTACAATGTTTACAGCAGAATCCAACCAATCCTATATTTGGTAAAATATCCAAATGGGTTGGTAAATACACGATGTACTTTATTCACTTGTGCTCTCAAACACTTGTATGATTTATGTATGACCATGCTTGATAGGTCCTGTGTAGTGGGAACACTTTTGCCTCTTGTTAGAATATAAACTATAACCCTCAACAATCATCATAACTTCAGAGTTTTTGTGTAGTGAGTACGGTGTTCAAGATGGTAGCAAAGCATCCTAGGTTCCCACATGCCACAAATTTAAAGTGGATTTTCTAAAAATTGACACCATTGCATGAGTTCAGGTTTCAACCAGTAAAAAGGGCAGTCAACCCGAAGGAGTATGTTAGAATATAAAACTATAACTCTCAACAATCATCATAACATTATAAAACTATAACTCTCAACAATCATCATAACTTTGGAGTTCTGTTTGTAATGGTTAGGTACTTTAAGACCTCTAACTAAGGGGCTTGGTTTAGAACAAGTGCTTGCTAGAATTGAGTACACATTGTCTTCCTGATTTTGGATTGATGTCTTGTGGTCCTTCTTGATTCATCACATGTCCCTAATACTTCACTTGAATTAGCATCCTGGTTTAGCTTTTCCCCCTTTAATTTAAGCTTTTCTCCCGTGTTAATGGTTTAAAATGTTATCTATGCCCTACAGAAAAGTGCTGTTTTTTGAAATGAATTTTTTCTCTAATATTTTTATCTTATCCATGTGATTTCCGTATATTAATTGCGGTATATTAATCTTTCTTGGTTTGCAATTCTATTAAGGCCTTCCTCAAGGTTCTAGTGCATTTAATTTGATATCATTCTTTCTATTTTTGTTCAGGCAACTAAGCGGATTAGTGTTAGAAAGCTCTCACATGGATGGTTTATTATTGTATATTCAGAATGATATGAAGGAAAAACTCATCAAGGAGGAACCTCATTTGCATATCTACTCAAGTAATGATGTTGACATGTGAGTGCAATAATATTATATCTGTGTTTAATTTCACTATATTTTAAGATGTGATATACTTTTTATAATAGATAGTTGTAAATTGTTGGTGAAGACACTCGTGATGGTAGAGGTTGCATGTCTAAAGGTCAGCTATCAACAATTTAGAGGGATTTGTCCCTTGGGTGATGTCACCTCCATCTGAAAAGCGAATAGTCACACATAGGATGTGTATCAAGAGTTTCTGCTATAACAGTTCAAATGAACTCCATCAAATATAGCTACAATGTTTGAGGAACATGGAAGAACTCTGCGGTCAAGTGTGCTCGAGCGAGAGTACTTGATTGTGACCTCTTCAAAAGTCTTCCTGCAGGGTATTACATGATAGTATGGGATTTGAGTTGAAAAACAGCTGCAATGTCCATTTCTTGGTTGCTACACTCATTATCTTAGTTCCTGGAAATCTTATACTGGTTCTATTAATTTCATTCATGCCAGTTTAACCTGCATCAACTGATTCTTTCGGTAGCATCAAATGATCTGAGTTGCGCATACTGAACTTCCGTTATTCTACACAGGCTTCTAAATGATGAACATGATAGTAACAAAGAAGACAACTTTGAATCACCCAGCTGTTTGCATGAAAGGCCATTTTCAGAGACATCTAACGGATCATCAACGCCCACAACGAATGAAAAGCCTTCATCTTCAAAGAACTCGAAAATAATCAACGATCGTATAACTCCATTTGGACAACGAATAAATAAATTTGTATCACAATTTACTTTCAATACTCAGAATCAGGTGACTCAATCAAGAAGTCAAGAGCTTGAAAATGAAGATGATGATGTCATTAGAAGAGTACAACCAGGTGAAAGATGCTCTTTGCACATTCATAGTTCACAGCCAGAACCAGGTTGCAGGTTCATGTTTGACAGAGTCGAAGATCGGGTAATGCAATCAACAATTAAATCCATGTGTAATATTTCTTATTTTGCCCTAAACAAATGTTTGTTGTTACTTAGTTTAATTATCTTGAGAACCGCATTAAAAGACATGCTCTCGCATATGCTGCATCTGGACTGCATGGAGAAGTCACTGATGCCACATTGGCGTCACAGGTAAAATCGCTTATTACCAAGTAAAGTTTCTTCTGTATGACAGGGTATTGATAATACAGTTAGTTCCATCATTAAAATGTGGCATGCTATATTTGGTTCGATATATCTGTATTGTATGAATACCACCCAATGTGCTTTCTTGATTACTTTAAACATTTAGTGATCTACACAAATACCTCTCTTTCAAAATTGAGGACATTCACCTACAAAAATTTGTTTTTTTTTCTTTTATCAGAACAGTATGTTTGCCGTGGGCATGGTTTGTAGTGATGGGGAAGGTTGTCTTAATGGGAAGTCTATCCTATTACAAGGAAGGTAAATATCTTTTCTCTTTTTGTCTTGTGCATGATTTTTATTGAACTGCATAGTCTTTGCTTTGTAGAATTAGTGTCCCTTTTTTGTTAATTTATTTTTCCCTAGTGTTGAGCATTCTGGAGGGCAGCGTGTGCGTCTTGATCTCGAGAAATTAGACCAATTTTCGTTATTTCCTGGTCAGGTAAAAACTTGTGCCGTAGTCTAACATGAGTGTAAATCTGTTAGCAGTTTCTAGTAATTGAAAACGTTGAAGTGTGATTTCAGGTCATTGGCATTGAGGGCCATAATCCTAGTGGACACTGTTTGATTGCATCAAAAGTGATTGATTTGATGCCTTATTCTGATGTCACCAGTCTGCCTCCAGCAAAAAGGCAAGCCATAGACCATCAACCAAATTCTGAGCCTAGTATGTTGAGAATGCTATCAATGGTCAGTGCCTTATTTGGAGACTTTGAATTTTTTTTATGAACATTCATTCTTTTAGTTGCTGGTTCATCTCTTATTGATATTCGTATCATGGAGAAAGAACAAGGCAATTAAACATAATTTGTCTAGAATTGGTTTTCTTTATCTTATTTTGGCTTATTATTTACATTATGGACCATTTGTTGTCCTTTTTATTTAAATTCTCGAGTTGACTTTGACAAATGATTAAAAACTGATGAGGTGTGGGTACAGCATAACCCCAAGGACATGTATGCCTAAAGGTTCATAATTTAAGAAAGGCCCAAAGTTATGAAATACATGCACATATATTGTATCTAGACCATGGGTTTTGGCTCGTGGGTTAGTGGCCAATTTTCATTGACTTTTATAGGTTTATCTTCTTGCTCTAAAATTACCACAAGCGGTAATTTGAACGAGGTTGGTTGACAATGTGTGATGCTTTACATAATATATTATCTTTATGTTGTATAACAATTACATGAAAAATTTGAGAGTTTGGAGTATTACCCTGTTCCGATAACATGTGTAATGTTGCATACCTCGAATTAGTTAATATAGTATAGGATGAATTGTCAATAGACCCCTTGTACTTTCGTCCAATTGTAGATAGACCCCCTGCAGTTCTATTTGTATAGATAGACCCCCTGAGTGAATTTTTTTACTCTTAAAAGAGCCAATTTTTTTTGAGGAGGTGGATGGACCCGCAATTGCTTACTTCTTTACTCTTAAAACAGTCAAAAAAGTTCACCTAGGGGCTCTACCCGCGCTTGGGCAAATAGTACAGGGAGTCCGTCTATCCCCACAAATATAACTGTGTTGGGCCTATCCGCAATTGGGCAATAGTACAAGGGTCTATTCCCTATATTGCCAGGAGTTCAAGGTGCTTGGCACGTTGCTTGGTATCCATGTTCCGCCATGAAACCCCTCTGCTTTTATGACTTTGCTCCTACCCAATTTTAACCATTTTAAAGATAATATTGCAAAGCTTTTTCAAACGTCTCAAGATTATTAACAGTTAACTTGGTTTGCCTGGTACGCAAATGTGCTGTAGGGAAAACAATTCCTTTGAGACATAATCCAAAAGCACCCTGAAGTAAGTACTGCTCACGTGAACCTATGTATGGTGTCTTTACTCCAATCATGTACGCACTCGTATGTCGGTATATGAAAATATGAAGCAACACCTCAACTTAGATGTTCTGTTATGCGTACTATGCATTTTGTTCTTTTTCTACCTTTTTTCAAAGTAACAGGGAAGTTTCCTAAAAGGTTCTTTTGATTCTTTGTAGGTTATTGCAGCTGGTCCTTTCACAACTATAGATAATCTATTGTTTGAGCCTTTGACAGAATTGCTAGCATATGCAAGGAGAAGACAACCCCAGCTGCTTATTTTGGTGCGGCCAATGTTAATCTCTTTGCTACTGGAGACATCTTATTCCATATAAACCAGCGAAGGCTTAATAGTTTATTAGCATTTCTGCAGATGGGACCTTTTGTCGACTCTGAGCACCCAGAGATTAAAAAGGGAACTGTTGACAGAACCTTCGATGAGATATTTCATGTAGAAATCATTAGAAGGGTCTGTATTTCTTTCATATCTAGTTCCTGTTGAAGTTCCTTCTAGATAAAATTTGTATACTCCTTCAAAGCTTTTTGATTGCTCATATTGATCTTTAATGCAGTTGCAAGACTACACTGAATTTATGGGTTCTTCTGCTCGTGTGATTCTCATGCCATCTACACGTGATGCTAACCATGACTTCGTTTTTCCTCAGGTTTTCACAAATTTATAAACCTTTTATCCTTAAGTTTTGAGTTTTTGGCTATTGATGAGGATCAGTAATATTTGGTTATCATTAACTTCACCTTTCTCCGGGTTGTACAGTGGTCTGATGTATTCTGGATAGATAGATAGTAATACCGACGTAACATCTTCATTAAAAATTAAAGATGGAATATCATATTTCCTGAATCTTTATTCAGGCAAATTGATGTCATCCAAAGCAGTTTCTAACTACAAGCAGCACCACCTGTCCATTCATGTAGCTTTTTTTGTTTCTGCGTTTTTGGGTTATTAATATCTGTGAAGGATTATAATTTACACATTAAAATTATTTTTGCAGCCTGCGTTTGATATCCATCTGCCAGAGGGTATGAAGAATCAGGTATTTGTTTCCACTGAGTTTGGATGTTCTTAGTTTTTGCTGTTCTAGTTTATTTAACATTTTATTGACATTCTTCTCCTGCAAACCAGATAGCTTTTCTTACAAACCCCGTCCTTTTCAGTGCAAATGAGGTAAATATCATATTTTGCAAAGTTAATTTTTTGTAATTGAAGATAGTATATAAGATGCATTAAATCATATACATATGCGTTCCAGAAATCAGTGATCGTCAACACCACATATGCTGCCTAGCAGATAGTGCAAAATGGTTTCATCTGTTGGTTATCTTTTACTAATCAAATCGAAGTCTATGCCAAAGAGCTAGAATTTAACTGTCAAATACTTGCATAAATAACACCATCAACTGAATATCTCTGAAATTGACTTTGCTTTTTCTTTGTTCTTTTGAAGCTCAAATCAGCATTCTGCTTTGATCTGGTTACTCAATAGGCCGTAGCCTGATCTTTTTATGTTTATGGCATTCATCAAATGTGTTGCTTTCTTCCTCACAAGGCCAACATAGATAGACTATTATTAGTAAGCATAGAAGTAATTTGAAGTCCTTCATGCACTGTCATAATAGTTCAATTCAAGGGTTGTCCATCATAGTCCTGATTTCGATTGTTATCGGTGCAACCAAGGAGGTTACGGACATCAAACTACAGTATATTAGTTTGCTATTGCAAAACAATCATCAACTAAACGACAAAAGATGTTTTATTGAGCACTACATTTCAGTGAAGTACCTTTCTATTCAGTCTGTGTAGCATATGCGCACTTCTGATGAAGCGATGTTGTCTCAGATATTTGTTTCAAAACAGTTTTTTTGAGACATGTATCATATGTTATTTTGAGAAACTTAGCGTGTCACCATGTCTTATCCATGTCGCGTGCCCGACTGTCGGTATCTGTGTTTTGGGGCTCTTGCCTAATTGTTCATCTAAAAAAGGGCTCATATAGTTCCCGTGTTTGGAAAAATAAGTGTGGCCAATTATGAGGGAAGAGACAATGTTGATTTATTTATAGCGTATAAAGTTCCAGCTATGATTCTATCATAAGTTTTAATTCTATTGGAGATTTCTGTAATTTTTCATATGTTATATCCGGATTCAGATGAAAGGGAACTGGAGCTGCAGATATATCTAACCAAACGATGTCACTACACTTTTGCTATTCATGATTTTAGCTTCGTAAATCATAAAACAACTGAATTCCAATGATTACTGCATGGGCTACATAACTAGCCAGCCATGCTGTTGGATCAAAGTGCAGCAATTAAGAAATATGCTCAGAAAGTGAGTGTCTCTGAAGAATGTTCAGATAGTTGATTGGCTGTAGGTTAACAAATAGGACAAATGAGTGTTTCCCAGAAATTTTTTAGGTATTTTCACTTTTTGATAAAATGATTAATGGGAAGTTAGTAACTTCATTTGCATATTTAGTGGGGCTTGATATTGTTTGGGCATCTGCAACAAAGACAAGTAAGTGCGTCAATGAGGATGCACTACAGGATTCTAGTTAATGAAGCAATGAAAACTAGATTTACACCTAAAGAAACATCCAGTAGAGTTGAAAAGTATGTTATAGTTGTTAGTTTAACAAGGAAAAATGACCCTTAATAAAACTGAATGGAGCGAATGGATTCAGTTAGCTAATCTGTGGACTTCGAAATAAAAGGTTGTTATTGTTGTGGGATAAGCATACAGTCCCATACATCTGGAACAACCAAAAAGTTACCGAACATTAGTGCTTTATGATTCATAATACATTTTAACTGTATGAATAACCACACATCTGATGACCAAAGAGAGCATGTTATCTTTGTGAAAATTTAAGGTAAATATTTCTTTTGCTTTAAGAGCAAGTTGCACAAAATCCCTCTTTAAGGTTTCAAAACTAACACGTTCACCCCCTCTAGATTTTTATTTACTATTAATAGTTAAAAGTATCCCATGAGTATCATGTGACCCTCATAATTCCAAAAATATCCCTATCCTTAACAGACTTCTTCGTTCTCTTTTCTCTTCTTCCTCCTCCTTGGGTGCAACTTGTTCTCCTTCCAAACATTTGTAACAGACAATGCTGAATGAAAAATCCTTTTTTTTTTGGNGACTCTAAATTTAGAGTTACTATTCTTCAGACTTTTATTTCCTCTAAATTCAGATAGAGGAATTCCTGGCATTAAGTGGGCTAACGTGAAGGGGGAGATCAAACACAGTGATCAATGTTATTCTAGAGAATCTAGTCTACTATCATGAATACAACAATACTTATTAATATTTTTGGGATTTGAGAAGGGTTGAGGAGTAGAAGCTGATGAGAGAGTGCTTTTGAACGTGAGTGATCATGTTGTTAGTGGATGGAGGGAGAGGGGGGAGGCCAGATGAAATGAAGAGATGAGAAAGAATAAAGAAACGTTGCGGGTTTCTTTTGTTAGAAGAAGAGTTCAAGGGTATTTTTGATAATACGTGTTATTCAGTAGAAAATTTAAATTGACAGGGTGAAACTGTTAGTTTTGAAACCTTAGGGGGCTTTTATGTTACTTTACAAACCTCAAGGGGATTTTTTTTGTAATTCAACAAATGTCATAAGAAGTTTTTATATGTCCACTTAGTTCCTTCATGTAATAACTGTTGGGAGATTACTCAGATTCCCCTATTTCCAGACTTAAGAGGAAGCGAAATAAATGCACAAAATGGGGGACACGCAAGATTTACGTAGTTCGGCATAAAATTACCTACGTTCACGGGCTGCTGTAAATCTTTCACTATGAAGAGAAATTTTACAACACTCTCAATTTTCTCACAACTCAATCCCACTCTGAAAATTCACTATGAAGAGAAATTTTACAACACTCTCAATTTTCTCACAACTCAATCCCACTCTGAAAATTGCTCATAATTTTCTCTCACAAAGACTTTTCTCTCTCAATTTTCTCACAACTCAATCCCACTCTGAAAATTGCTCATAATTTTCTCTCACAAAGACTTTTCTCGAAGCCTCTCTTTTCTCTCTCTTGCTCTTCTATAAGAGGAGTTGTTTCTGGGATGAGACTTCCTTAAGAGTTTGAGGTCTATTTATAGTGTTTGGAAAAATACTATGCATCAATATTTTATTAGTGGTGGGGCCCACGGTGGGGCCCACGTACAATTGTTTTCTTGCTCTGGGACCCGCTCACCTATCCTCTTTTGATGCTTTGTCAAAAGATGCTGGCTTGGTTTCTTTGGGCGGTGGTTGCAGTCAAAAAAAAAAAGTGGGCGGCTCCTTTAAAACATGTGGGCGGCTCCTTTTTATTTTTGGCCGTTTGCTTCTCTCAATCAGAGAAGTCCTCCCCCCTTCTTTGACTAACAATCTCCCACTTGAAGACTGATTTCAATCTGTCTTCATATCTCGATCTATGCAGCAGCTCTTCCCCGGTCTTGATACTATTGCAGGCCAACTGAAGCTGAACACAGCTTCAGTTTGTCAGTAGTCACCGTCTTTGTCAGCATGTCTGCCGGATTTTAAGCTCCACTGATCTTTTCAAGCTTCAAAATTCCATCTTCCAGAAGTGACCGGATAAAATGATACCGTATCTGTATGTGCTTCGTTCTGGAATGGAAAGATGAATTCTTCGCTAGATGAATAGCACTTTGACTGTCGCAGTATAAAACATTGTTTTCTTGTTTCTTGCCTAATTCATCCAAGAAACTTTGAAGCCACACCATTTCTTTGCTGGCTTCTGTAACAGCGACATATTCTGCTTCAGTTGTGGAGAGAGCAACTATGTTCTGTAATTTAGAAGCCCAACTCACTGCAGTACCTCCTAGAGTATATACATACCCTGTAGTGCTCTTTCTGATATCAACATTTCCTGCTAGATCAGCATCTACATAGCCTGTTAGTATTGTATCTTCACCTTTGAAACAAAGTGCTTTACCTTTGGTGCCCCGTAGATATCTGATGATCCATTTGACTGCTTCTCAGTGTACCTTGCCTGGATCATTCATGTACCTGCTAACAGCTCCTACTGCTTGAGCAATATCTGGTCTTGTACAGATCATGACATACATCAGACTTCCAATTGCTGAGGCGTACGGGACCTTCGCCATGTGTGCATGTTCTTCCTCTGTCTTCGGTGACTGTTCTTTGGAAAGTCTGAAATGAACACCTAAAGGTGTACCCACTGGTTTTGCATCTTGCATGTTGAACCTGGAGAGTACTTTGTTGATGTACTCAGCCTGTGATAACATCAAGGTCCTAGACTTCGTGTCTCTCTTGATCCTCATTCTAAGAATCTGCTTTGCAGCGCCAAGATCTTTCATTGCGAACTGCTTTGATAATTTTTGCTTCAAATTTATAATCTCTTACAGATCTGATCCTGCAACGAGCATGTCATAACTGCTTTGATAATTTTTGCTTCAAATTTATAATCTCTTACAGATCTGATCCTGCAACGAGCATGTCATCAACGTATAACAATAAAATGATGAAGCTATTGTCAAACCTCTTGAGATAGCAACAATGATCTGCTTGGCATCTAGTGAAACCATCAATGCTCATAAAGCTGTCAAATTTCTTGTACCACTGTCTGGGAGCTTGTTTTAATCCATACAAGCTCTTCTTCAAATGACATACTAGATTTCCCTTGCCTGCATTTATGAAGCCTTCTGGTTGCTTCATATAGATCTCCTCCTCCAAATCACCATGAAGGAAAGTTGTTTTTACATCTAACTGTTCAAGATGTAAATTCTCAGCAGTTATAATTTTCAACACTAATCTGATTGTAGTCAGTTTCACGACCGGGGAGAAAATTTCATTATAGTCAATACATTCCTTTTGCTGAAAGCCTTTGACAACCAATCTTGCCTTGTAGCGCTTGTTCCCATCATGTTCTTCTTTGATCCTGTAAATCCATTTGTTATGAAGAGCTTTCTTACCTAGTGGTAATTCAGCTAAGTCCCACGTCTGATTTGACATGAGCGAGTCCATCTCATCTTGCATAGCAGACTCCCACTTGACTGAATCCTTCACCTGTATTGCTTCGTCATAACACTCCGGTTCACCACTGTCAGTCAGTAACAGGTAGTGCAAAGAAGGTGAATAACGCTGGGTTGGCTTAGGAATTCTGGAGGAGCGTCTCACTTCTGGCGTGCTTGGTTCTTCTTGAACTGCTTCAGGGCTAGTCTGAACATCCTTTTTAGAAATCTCCTCAAATTCAGCAAATTCTTTTGTTTAAGCTTTTGTACTGGAGCTACTTGATTCTGCAGTTGATCTGTCTTTGTACATCACATTCTCATTGAATATGACATCTCTGTTTCTGATGATCTTTCGATTTTCATAGTCCCAAAATCGGTAACCAAACTCATCACCACCATAACCAACAAAAACACATTTGTTAGATTTGACATCAAGTTTATTCCTTTCAGCAGAATCTATGTGTACATAAGAGATACAACCAAAAATTCTTAAATGTGAAAGGTTTACCTCTTTTCTGCTCCAAGCTTCTTCTGGTATTCCACCATCCAAGGGAACTGAGGGTCCACGGTTGATTAGGTAGGCTGCGGTATTAATAGCTTCAGCCCATAGAAACTTGGGCAGTCCGGCATGTATCCTCATGCTTCTGGCACGTTCATTTAAAGTTCTGTTCATGCGCTCTGCTACGCCATTTTGCTGTGGTGTCATGGGAACTGTTTTCTCCATCTTGATCCCGTTGTTTGCGCCAAATTCTTTGAATCTACTGTCTTTGTACTCTCCTTCGTTGTCTGACCTCAATCGCTTTATCTTCAGACCAGTTTCGTTTTCTACCATGGCCTTCCATTTTCTGAAGGTATCAAAGACTTCTAATTTTTTCTTTAGAAAATAGACCCATACCTTCCTTGTAGAATCATCAATGAAGGTGACATAGTACAGTGAGCCTGCAAGAGATAAAACTGGAGATGTCCCCCATACGTCGGTATGAACCAATTCTAACCTTTCTGTCTTGGGTGTCTTACCAATCTTTACAAAACTGACTTTCTTCTGTTTGCCAAAGATGCAATCCTCGCATAGGCCGACATCTATATTCTTCAGATCCGACAACTTCCCTTTTGGCAGAAGTGTCTTCATCCCTTTCTCGCTCATATGGCCAAGCCTTTGGTGCCATATATTTGATTTTTCATCTGCATCTATTACTGCAATGATATTCTCTAAGTTAGAGGTTATATAGAGAGTACCATTTTTTTTACCTCGAGCAATGACGAGTGTTCCTTTGGTAATCTTCCATTCATGACCCGAGAAGGTTGTACAATAATCCTCTCCATCAAGCTGTCCCACAGAGATCAAATTTTTTCTAATACCAGGAATATGTCTCACTCATTGCAACTTCCATGTGGTCTGATTTGACAATTTTAATCGGATGTCTCCCTTGCCAACAATCTTCAAGGTTTCATCATCTGCTAGATGTACCTTTCCGAAATCACCGCTGATGTAGTTCTCCATGATTTCTCGGTATGGGGTGGAGTGGAAGGATGTCCCTGAATCAAGAATCCATGATTCAATCGGACTGTTGACGCTTAGAATCATAGCATCACCTCCTTCCTCGGTCACGTTGGCAGACTCCTGTGCGCCGATATTTTTCTTTGGTGCCCGGCACTCCCTCTTAAAATGACCCTTCTTGCCACAATTGTAACACTTGAAGTCTTTCTTTCATGATCTAGATTTGCTTCTTCTAGATTTTGATCTGCCATGATTTGAATTTCTTTCTGAAGTTCTTCCCCTAGACTCCGTGTGTAAAGCTGAGGAGGTTGAAGCTTCACCTGATTCTCTCCGTTGAATTTCTTTACTAAGAACCAGATCACGAACGTCATCGAACTTCAACTTGTTGCTTCCCGATGAGCTACTCACAGCCGTGACTGTAGCGTTCCAGCTTTCTGATAGGGAAGACAAAAGAATCAACGCTCGAACTTTCTCATCAAACTCAATCCCAACTGAACTCAACTGGGTTGTGACTATGTTGAGTTCATTGAGATGTTGAGCTACCGATGCGCATTCTGTCATCCGCAAATTGAACAGCCGCCTCATTAAGTGAACTTTGTTTGAGGTAGATGGCTTCTCATACATGCTGCAGAGAGCCGCTATAAGACCCGCCGTGGTCTTTTTCTTTGCTATGTTGAAAACAACATTACGGGATAACGTCAATCGGATAACTCCAAGGGCTTGTCTGTCGAGAAGAGCCCACTCTTCATCCTTCATATCATCTGGCTTACTTTCAGAGAGAGGTTGATACAGCTTCTTCTGGTACAGATAATCTTCGGTCTGCATCTTCCAAAAGCCGAAGTCCGCACCATCGAACTTCTCAATTTTCACCTTCCCTTCGTCTGCGGCCATCGCTCCCACTCGAATCTGACTTTCTCTGGATCGTTTCTGATAATTTCTGCGAACCACCGTGTATTAAAACACCTCTGTCGACAAGTCGATATCGCCGGCAAAATTTCACTATTCACGAAATTCACTATTCATGTGAATAGTAATCTCGCAGAAAATTATCAGACGTCACAACCAGAGCTCTGATACCAGTTGTTAGGAGATTACTCAGATTTTCCTATTTCCAGACTTAAGAGGAAGCGAAATAAATGCACAAAATGGGGGACACGTAAGATTTACGTGGTTCGGCACAAAATTACCTACGTCCACGGGCTGCTGCAGATCTTTCACTATGAAGAGAAATTTTACAACACTCTCAATTTTCTCACAACTCAATCCCACTCTGAAAATTGCTCACAATTTTTTCTCACAAAGACTTTTCTCTAAGCCTCTCTTTTCTCTCTCTTGCTCTTCTATAAGAGGAATTGTTTCTGGGATGAGACTTCCTTAAGAGTTTGAGGTCTATTTATAGTGTTTGAAAAAATACTATGCATCAATATTTTATTAGTGGTGGGGCCCGCGGTGGGGCCCACGTACAATTGTTTTCTTGCTCTGGGCCCCGCTCACCTACCCTCTTTTGATGCTTTGTCAAAAGATGCTGGCTTGGTTTCTTTGGGCAGTGGTTGCAGTCAAAAAAAAAAAAAAAGGGAGCGGCTCCTTTTTATTTTTGGCCGTTTGCTTCTCTCAATCAGAGAAGTCCTCCCCCCTTCTTTGACTAACAATAACATTACTGTTTTGCCTGTCATTGCTTGCATTCTCATTTAAATGGGAGTTGCTATGTACCAAATCCTTAATGAGAAACGAGAATGTTTTGTAGGATAATAACTAATGTACAAATCATTCTAAAGTTCATGTACAATTTCACATTTTAGTGTCTAATAAAATCACAAATTCTTTTAGTGCTATGAATGGTTCACTAAATGCTTGTTATAATAGTTTGATCATCCTAGGATTATGCTTCTCAAGGGCAGCAACATGATTAACATTGGAGATATTACCTTATCAAGGAATGCCTGTCATACCAGAATTGTTGCATGCCTGGATCGCTCAAATGAGCTAGTTTTAACATACATACGGCTATTTTCGTCCGTAGCCTTTTGAATCGTTTGTCTATATTTTTTTGGGTAAGTAAGTAATATTGTTCCTAATTTACCAATCGTTAGTTATATTATTCTCATGCAATGTAACATATGATCTAAATGGAATTGCTTCTAGGTTTTGACCACCGTGCATGCTAATACTTTATTGTATTACCTATTACAGTAATATAATTATGCTTCTCCTCGTTCATTATTTTCTTTTAGACCTCATGCCCTATCTTCTTCTAGTAAGGCTGAGTACTTCTGCATCTTATTACAGAAGTAATGAAGTTTGACAGATCAGATTTTTTGGCATTGAAGTTTTGTTCAATTAAATTTAGCAGGATCTGCTGTTTCTTCTGTTTGTCATAAAAACATACTTGGGACACCTTTTCTTATTCCTCCTTCTAGAGGACAATCTCCACTATTTTTTTCTCACACCTTTTCTCGTTTAAACTATATTTCAACCTAGGTGTTCAGACTCAAAAAGATTTTCCTTCTGCTGTGCTATTTACACATTTATTAATCTGTCCAGATCACAGTTGGTTGCTGCACTGTGGATATTTTGAAACAGCTTAGTAGTGAGGAGATTTCACGAAAACCAGCTGGTGCCCATGGAGATCGTATTGGACGTCTTGCAGCTCACTTACTAAACCAACACAGGTGATTTTAGTAATTCTCAACAGAGCTGAATTTATAATGTGTTAATTGTGGATATACCCCATTTACTATAGCTCAACTGCGGATAGAACCCCCCGATCCAAACCCAAAATAAATAAATACAAGAGTTCTATTTGTGCAGATAGAACCCCTGATCAGTTAATTTTTTTGACTCTTTTAATGGTTAAAAAAAAGAATCATTCAGGGAGGGTCTATCTACACTTGGGCGAATAGTAACGGGGATATCCGTAATTAACCTATTTATTACCGTAGAAACCGATTCTGAATGTTCCCCTTTATCCTAACAGCTATTATCCTCTATATCCACCGTTCGAGAGTGTTCCTTGGGATCTTTCCCTTTCACCCGAAGCATTAGAAATCCCCTCAATCCCAGATCTCCTGTTGCTTCCCTCAGATCTTGCTACATTTGTAAAGGTAATTATGAATGATTTACTTTCTTATTTACCACACGTGCATGGATTCTTCACCTTTTCCAAGACTGTTCTTCTTAAAAGAAGTACAATCAGTTGCGTGCTCCGCTAGTAAAGCAGAAACAGATGGAAGAAGAGAGAACAGGTTGTAAATTCTTTTCTCATTCACGCTGCTTTCATCTCAACAATCTTAAAGAAAAATATACTCAAAGTTGTTTGCTCCTTTTCTCCCTGCATCATTAATAACCAAATGAACAAAATCAATGATTTAGTTTCTCTCCGTCAGCTGAAGTATACACCGCTTCAAGTACTAAAATCAGAGCTTGCTATAACCTTCGGTTAATAACTTAAATATCATCTAAGACGTCTAGATCCTAAGCTTATTGGTTATGTTTCAGTGACACATGGTAATCCATTTTGGAAATGCAGGTCTTGACCATTGGAGAAGGAAACGAAGGAGAAACAATCAAATGCATTTGTGTGAACCCTGGAAGATTATCCAAGGGCATCGGCGGGGGTACATTTGTCGAGATTAACTACAATGGAGATCCCGAAAGCACAAATGCATCAGTCATCCGCATATAGATTTTCAAAGGGACTTGTAGTTTGGCTTGTTTGCCGATAATTTACCTCCTGCCTCATCTGAGTAGATCAAAGTGAAGATGCCCTTTCATATCAAAGTTGAGTGGTATTGACCCATGATATATACCAAATATTCTAGAAGGTTTCGATTTCTGTACTTCAGATCTCTATGGTGTACAATGGTTTGATTTGGCCCTAAGGCCTAGTCCTATCTATATAAAAGAGGAGAAAAGATGGGGTATTAAGGTATGGGAAGCTACTAGGAACAGGTGGACGACTAGAGTCACTCTCCAGTTATGTAAGTTTAGATTCTTCACTTACTGGAAACCTAAGATTACACAATAATTTCCTTTTTGTATGACAAATAAAATGTCTGACAAAATGACTTCTTGAAGGAGACTCAAGATAATGCCTCACTCTCCAGTTATGTAAGTTTAGATTCTTCACTTACTGGAAACCTAAGATTACACAATAATTTCCTTTTTGTATGACAAATAAAATGTCTGACAAAATGACTTCTTGAAGGAGACTCAAGATAATGCCTCACTCTCCAGTTATGTAAGTTTAGATTCTTCACTTACTGGAAACCTAAGATTACACAATAATTTCCTTTTTGTATGACAAATAAAATGTCTGACAAAATGACTTCTTGAAGGAGACTCAAGACAATGCATCAATTTTGACATCTTGATGAGAAATTTATGGCAATCTGTGACTTCGAGCTGTCCATACTGAGTCACACCAAGTTGTCGTAATCAAATTTTCAACAGTTGCATGTTGATTGCAGAAGTTTATCGTGGATCAGGAACACAAACACGTGTTCTCCTTGGATGAAAATCTTTAGGGAGCGTTTGGCAAGCGTGGTGTTTTTACCGTTTTTGTATTTGTTTTTAACAAAAACAATAAAACGTGTTTGGCAATCGGGACGTTTTTTTGACTTGATCATTTACAAAATCCAAAAAATAAACACTTTTCTCAAAACACCAAAAAAGTGTTTAAAGTTCTCGTTTTTTTATCTAAGCAGGCTCGTCCGCACCGATGCCGCATCGCGAGACTGTCGTTCGGAGCTCGTCGCAACGCTGCCTGTCCGCCCACGGCCGCCCGCACTTCCTCTGGTGCGTCGCCGTCGTCGTCAGCTGCCGCGTCGGCTTGGCTCACTGCGCGCCCTTCGTCACCGCCCCGCCGCCGCCGCCCGCATGTCGTCCGGCCGCCCGCCGTTGTCGCGACGCATCGCCACTCCCGGCCTCCGACGGTCGTGTCAGTGCCCGTGCGCCGCCCCTGGCCTGCCACCCGCGCGCAGCCGGCCGACAGGTCGTCGTCCGTACGCGCGCCATTCGCCTGCGCGCTCGTCACAGCCGCCACATGCTTCGGCCACCGCACAGCCGCGCGTACGCCCTAGACGGTCGTTGTCCAGCGCCTGCCCGCCCGTGCTTGTCGGCCGCGCGTCACCGCCGCCGCACTCACCGTCGCCGTCGCTCTATAAATAACAACTATAAATGGTTTTTTCAAAATATGTTTGAAAAAAACACCATGGCATGGTGTTTTTCTAAAAAACACAACAAAAACAAACACCTCGATTATCAAACACACCCGGTTATATATGTGCTCGAAACACTTTGTGGATGTTTGTTTACAAATGAGTGAAATGAAGAATTGGTGACTCTATAAATATGCAGAAAATATGATCATATTTCAATTATTAAATACCGTATTGATAAGCTTAGAATTCCTTTTTCCCCCCTTCACATGAGAGAGAAAAGGAGCACTAGCTTGAAACCCTATTTGTAGATAAACTTTTTCCCCCTTTGCTTTTATAAGAGGGCCTATAGACTTGCCCCCATAATGACTCTCACAAAAGAAAGAAAAAACAATTTTCAGATGTGTATGTTGCTTATAAGCCTCAACAGGGTCACAATGAATGCCTGGGCTTTAGTCAAATTTACGTCAATTTCAATCTTTATGCATTCAGAATTGAGAATGCGATATATTAGAATTTTAAATATAACTCTTAATCTTTATCATAACTCTGGAGTTTTTGTGTAATGATTTGAGATAGTGTAATGGTTAGGGACTACAACTAAGATTCAAATTTTATCGGTCACAAAATTAAAGTTGATTTTCTAAAAATTAATATTGCTGCGTGAGTCTAGGTTTTAGCATATAAAAAAGACGTTTAACCTAAAGGACATGTTATTTGAATATAAAGATACGACTCTAAAGCTTAAAACAATCAGTTGGATCAGCGCATCTTTATACATTAGAAAATTTATGGATGATAAAAGAATTCACCACTTGGAAGAAAGAAAGAATGATATCGTCCGTGAATTGATGTAAGTCCTTGCTGTTTGCATCCTTATTAAGATGGATCTTTGTTGTTGCATCAAGCAACAAAGATGGTTACCGTAATACATTATTTGAGTTCCCGATAAGTTACAGCCAATAAACTTCCATCAACATCGCAAGTAGATTTAGGCTCTGTTTGGCAAAACTAGCTGAAAGCTACGAGATTATAGCTGAAAGCTGTTAAGCTAGCTGAAAGCTGTAAAATTGTAGTTGAAAGCTGTGTAGCTAGCTGATTGACTAGAGCTGTTTGGCAAAAGTAGCTGTACAACTAGCTTAAGTTTGTTAAATGATTAAAAAAGACATGCAATATTATTGATATAAAATTAGAATTATTAGGGGCAAAAACGGAAGACAAAAATTAGCAGCTCCTTCCCAAAGACAAACGCTACTTGAGGTAGCTTTTCAAAAGCTACTTGCAAAAGACACAATCTCTAAAATAATCTCCTCCTATTTTTTGTCACCAAACAGCTCTACTATCTTATTGACCAAGTCAATAAGACACAAGCTCTTAGATAAGACACTTTTTTTGGTTGCCAAACAGTGCCTTAAAGCAACCGAAAATAAAATAAAATAAAATAAAAGCTAAATGACACTTAAGTACCCTTTTATTTCACAACCTTCACACTGATATCTTAAGTTGTAAAAAATATTACTTTAATACCCTAAGTTGTAAATAAGTATCATTTTAATACCTAAGTTGTAAAAAATTGGCACATTAACACCGTCTGTTAGTTGCACGTGGGAATATTCCTAAAAATATTCCTATGTGATTAGGACATGACATTTTTGTAAATGTATTGACCCTTATCATTATCATATTTATCATTATACACACTCTTCATTTTTTATTAATTTTTATGGAGGGGTGTTTTTGTAAGAACAATATTTTAACGGTGTTTATCATATTTTAACGGTGGACAACTTAGAGTATTCATGTGATACTTCTTACAATTTAGGAATTTAAGTGTAAATGCAGTGAAATAGTAAAGTAGTCAGGTGTCATTTGACCAAAAAAAAAAAACAAAAAAGTAATAATAATCTACTATCTACTACTATTATAAAAGTGAGTTGTCATGTTAAAACATTTCTCCTCATAATGCCCTCCAAAACACATGCATACAGACACCATACTCTCATCAAATCCTTTAAATCAATCAAACACATTGATACACACATACATACATAAACTATACCTCCTCAAATTCTTCTTATAACGCCTAATCTTATTAAATCAAATTAATTAATTAATTACTTAAGGACACATAGTATTTAGTATAGGTAGATATATACTTAAACTATAGTATAACTATTATTTACTATAGTTATATATATAATTATATATATATATATATATATATATATATATATATATATATATATAATATATATATATATATATATATATATATATATATATATATATATATATATATATATATATATATATATATATATATATAATATATATATATATGATATATATATACTACATATAAAAGAGGATTGCATTGTCAAAACTTTTGATTTCCATTTTTACCCTTTTAAGTTTGATAATTCTCAAATGTGTTACTAGTTATAATTAATCATTCAATAATTATATTTAACCTCTTATTAATTATGCATTTCCTTACTTTTTTAAAACCTTTGGTCACACTATTATTTTATTATTAGTTATATTATTTAATAGAAAGTTTGAAATTTTATCCCTAATTTATCTTCACATAATATTTACAATTCTAGAAAATTTAAAAATAATAAACGTTCATTAATTAGCCTTATGCCTTACACCTTTGGGTTTTACCTATTATGGGGGACTACATGTTACATTGTATATATCTTATTAGCTTTTTAAAAGTATGATAATAGTATAAAAAGCAATTCGTATTTATTGTAATTGCAATAGTATTGTATAATAATCTTAATGATATTATTTAAATTAATAAATTTCACTGTAATTTAATAATTATATACAATTTAGTAAATTGTTTACCAATAGTATAATAAATTAATTATTAAAAATTAAAATATAGTTACTAATAGTATTATAATTATGCCATGCATAGTATTATTATATTTAAAAGATGAAGGACGGAGACAAAAAGGGAGGCATGCAACAACATTTTAAAGAAAATCAACACCAAACCTGAGCAACGATGATCAGAAGCTCTCGGTCTGGAGTATCGATCATCACCGCGCCAGCGGCATCCGTACACTTCTGAACGGTAGTCACAGTCACGCCCTGTTCTCTATTAATATCCATCATCGTTGTTGGCATTAGGGGCTGTTTGGTTGTAAGTTTTTACTATGTAAAAGGATGGAAAGTGTAAAAAAGTGGGTCCCAATGTTAGCTTTTCTCATTTTTAATTGTTTGTTTGTAGTTGTAAAAATAGTGTAAAGTGATTTACTATGCTGATGTGGCATGGATTCACAAATCCCTTTAAAATGGTTTGATTTTGAAGGAAAGCTGATATATGTGTCAGAAGTGAGGGGGCTAGACCAATGAAATCATTTGAGTAGGGACCACACAATAACCACATTTTATACTTTTCAAACAAATAATTAAAGTTACATTTTGCAAACCAAACAAGCAATTTATGATTCCAATGGAATAAAAAACAAAGAAAGAAAAGTTGCTCAGTAAAATTGATGAGGTGGACAACAACTTTTCAAATTGTATCATAAATACATAACTTTACCAACAACAACCAAACAACCCCTTAATTGAGTCGATAACCACTGTAACGGACTCGACTAATATATGATGACAATGTCTCACCGTCCTAAGATAATCATTTCAATATTAGTTTATTTGCCATGAGACTCGTGCAACAGTGTGAAGGTAACATTCTTTCATCATCTTTGTGGACTGCCAATGTATTCTTTAGATGTTTGCAATTTCAATATCTAATCATAAGTAGACTCTTATAGGCGATTGTTTTTAGTTTTTCCTGGTTTAGTTTATGGATGAAGACATTTATTAGATTTTGTACGTGAGCAATTTTGTTGTTCACAGATGTATACCGTGGCCTATCTTTCAACTATTGTGTTATTGTGATATATTATTAAGTAATAAACTTCTTACCCTTATGTAAATCTTATGCTTCATATTGCAATTATAGCCTAGTTATTAATACGCGCTTCTTAATGCAAGTGTGTTCATCTATAATTCAACAATAGAATTTTGAGAATTTGCTTCAAATTGAGTCAATTTGAAGCAATTTTTATTGATATATCGAAACTTTCTTTTTGAGTAAATATCCAT